ACTAGAGTATATTGGGGTTATATATGCTTCCAGAAATCATGTCTGAAGATGCTCTGCTGGTTGGCCTTCCCGATGCTTACCGGTACTGGCACATCTCTAACGTGCTCAGTGCAATCTGCTAGAAATCCTATGCATAGCATACCTACACCCAGTTTGTTGCTTGAGGTGATCCATGAACGCTTATTTATGTCTACCACGGCTGCTGTCAAGGCCGCAATGAGCACCGCCACGAAAGGTTCCAAGTACCTTGGTGGAATTTTCACTCACTGCTGTGCGATCCTGAACCTTGAAAAAGGCACCGGCTATCCATACAGATTGATGGGTTTAGGGTTTTGGTTTTCGGGTTTGAATTCACGGTGTGGGGCTTAGGGTTTGAATTTAGGGTTTAGGGTGATGCGTTGAACTCTTCACAAGCCACGGCAGCCTCAACAGTACGTCAGCAACTAATCGGCCCTTCTGCTCGACCCCAGATAAGAGCTTGAAGCCTGACCTGCTTCACGACACTTGCCCTTCCTCTTCTGGTGCTATAGTCACTGTCACAATAGTACTAGGTCCTGTTAAAGCGCACCTTTTGAGCGTACTAGGGTATAGGGTTTAGGCCTTACTGGGTATTATAATCGTAACAATAATATGTATGATGCTGCTACCTTCTAATGATAATTCTCCACTTATTGTCCCTCTTCTTGCTAGTTGGACATGCGCATGCTCCATCATCATTTCCCTCAAATCTTAAACCCCCCCTAATATTAAATCTGCCCAATATGCCATGATATACCACAATGGGTATCAGGAGGTTTAATATTAGAAGGAGGGGAATAACTCTAGACCCTAAACCCTTAACCCTATATGGCCCTTAACCCTACAAAGCCTTAAACCCTAAACCCTCAACTCATCCCTGCCCTGCGCCCAAAACAGATAGATATGGGGGGGGGTTCCCCCAAGTAGGGGTACCTTCAAAGGGACTTATAGCGGTCATAAAAAGATATATAGGGTGTAGGGGGGGTCCCATAATAAGGATTGAGGTCCCCTTGTTCCTTGAAACCAACATATCTGCAACAATGGAGCATCTTAGCAGAAGCGAGGCGGCACCCCGGATTCAAAGCCCTAAACCCTAAACCCTACAGATCCGAGAGTTGAATCAGAGCCGCCCTACTGGGTTGCTGTTAAGGAACTTAATTTAAGTTACCATAATGGGTATATATTGTAAGTAATAGGGTTTCCCCAATTAGTGACTGAAACCCTGTTATTTACTATAGATATACCCATTATGGTAACTTAACTTAAGTTCCTTAACAGCAACCCAGTCTAGCCACAGCCGTGACCCTACAAATGCAGCAGCCGCAAACAAATTGACACAAGTAGCAGGAGCGCCTGATGTTGTTGTTACCCTTTCACTGCCCCAAACCCTTGAAAGATGAATCTGTAGAAACGCCAATATAACCCCAACGTAACTCCAATATAGCCCTCCAAACCCTGAACCCTAAACCCCAATATAGCCCCAATACTACCCCAATGTAACCTAAACTACGGGAGACTGGATTTGCCGGCATCCTTCCCTCATGTTCTCAAAATTTCCGAGGAGCATCAGAGGATGCATGGGCTCTGGTGGTGCCGCCAAATCATTAATCCGTACCTGGGTTCTTGTTGAAATACTATGAAAGATGTTCATCATTAATCTATACTGGGCCCAGTTATACATCAAAATGCAAAATGTTGTTCAGCAAGAACCCAGGTACGAAGGTGAGCTCTGCTACCAGACCTGGGGGAAGTGGGAGTTTCCGAAAGTTGGGGCAGACTTCTTGGAATCCTCATACTGGGGATCACAGCGTATCAGGGTCTATATCGGGGCATGGTGCTTTCTATCTGTTCATGCTGACATGTGAGGGATGCATGTGCGCCACTATGAGATAGTATGGTCAAGGCTTTGGGAATTGAGCAAGTCATGTTGAGAAAAGTTGAACGGTGCGAAGTGAGCACGTGCAGAAGCCCCATACTCCTCCGTTGGCAACAACATTTGGAATGTACTGGAAGTGTCATCCATGATGGCTCTTGATAGCTTGATGACGTGAACCCCTGTGCCAAGCTTCGGTTGGTATCGCCGGCCAGTAGAATCTCTTTCACAGCTCGGAACTGGTTGATCATCCGGGGCCCGAAGATCCTGCGTTTGCTTCCAGCATCTGAGCTCATAAGCGCACATTGTTGCGATCTTGTCTTGAAGCTTTCTGGAAAAGCAGCTCCATCACTGGTAAAACAACGGCTGCCAGGCTTGCATAAGTCCTCTTGTGAATCTCGCCCTCGTGGGCCAAGAAGATCTCAGTGAGTACCTGCTCAAAGCGCACAAGAGATCTTTGCATAAATCAGGTGAAGCGCGCTCCGCCATGAACTGTGCACACGTGTTGGTTTCAAATGATGAGATGCTCGGAGATGCCTTGCTTGGAGCCCCGTGCTCTTAGAGATCTGTGCCCTTCATGGTGCGCAGGCCTGCAAGGGCACCACATTCAATTGGCTTTCGTAGCGCGGCTCAGCGGCCATTGACCTGTGCGCCCGGACTGCAACTAGTCTGACCCCAGCTACTACAGCCCCAAGGCAAAACTGACTCCCTCATAACGCCCCTCAAACCCCGAAAGTCCAAGCTAGAGAGCAAGAAATGCCGCCAACAATCAGCCGACTCAGCCGAGCAGCGGCACAGAGCGCGAACCAGCGGTAGTACTTGCAGTTGCTTTGCCGGGCCACTGGGCAGGCCACTCCTGCCAAACATTGCTCGGATGTAACTTATACCTACTATTCAAGGGCTAGAACTACTACTCAACTGTAGATATTTGGCGGTTGTTCAAAATTCCCCTTCTGGGATTTGGCCAACTTTAGCGAAAAAGTGTAATCCTTT